TCGAACGCTGCACTGTTCCTAAAGACTGCTTAAAGAAACTAAAAGGTGACCAAGGGGGTTCAGGTTGTAATGAAGAATAAAGGTAATCATACCAAATATTGAATTTAAAGTGTGTTTAAATTGTACAAACTGTTTTTGCCTTATTTAATATTTTTCCATGTTTGCACCTGTTTCTCCTTTTCTTAACAAAATATGAAGAAATGAGAGCTGGCTCAAGACTTATGCACACTACTGTTTATTGTCTAAGAGAGTTTACAGGTTGTTTTTACCTGCTCCAGGAGCTCATCTAGAGAAGACGCAGTCAAACTTCGCCGCCGCATCCGGCTGTATGTGCACACTCTGAAACAGCGAGGCTGATTTAGGGGCAGCATGTGTCGAGAGATGGTCTGGACTGTGGACACGGACCTGCAGGTCATTCAAAGTTCACTGCATTACAGTTTGAAATCTTACAGTCAAGTCGGAGGTTTTAATAACCTCAGACTTGCATCTATAAAAACCCTCTCAGCTGCTTTCACTATTTCAAAGGTTCAGTAATCCTATTTACTGAGTGGCTGCCATTGTTCTTCTGCAGTTCTGCACACACACAGCTTCCTCTGCAAAGTCTAAAAATGTCCTGGATACAATTTGACGCACAGCTGGTTTGAGTGAAATTGCCAATATTTGTCTAATCCCCAGATTTACAATAACTAAACTGAATTTATAAAACTCAACTTTAAGTTTTGATAACATTTAACAAACTCACCTCATCAGAGTCTCTGGCTTTGCACAGGCTGCTATTTCTGAGGGTTTTTTGTGTTTTATTTGGTCTACAATGAGGGTGTATAAATGTTACATATAATAACCAATAACAAACGAGACATCATATCTTTGTGTGAAAAACATTCTGAAAGTTTTCACCAAAAAGCTGAAATTAAGTGAAAGCTGCCAAACATGCCTGTGAAGTTATTTTCTAGCTCAGTTACAAAAAGATGATGAACAGCGTAAAATGTCTGATTTCAGTATGTAAGTAAAAATATAAAGCGCACCAGGAACCGGTGACTCTGCTACAGTTTTCTGCCTCTGTACAGACCATTTAAGGGGTCCTGTTGTGGTCCCCGGGCCACTGCTGGTTGTTTTCTTCTTTCGTTGGGCGGAACAATTAACAGCTTCCAGGTGGCTATTGTTTCCGCCGGACCGTAGACACAGACGGACCAAACAAATCAAAAAGTTCCCCGCCTGAAGTCAAAACGGAAAATTAAATTCTGCTGTCGGGACGAAAAAATGAAGTTTCGGGGGAAAATCATTGACATCGCCTGTTTGAACCACTTCACCCGTGAGTCTGAAACATCTGTTTGTGCCGAGAGCCGAAGCTAAGCTGTTAGCTTCCCTCCAAATGCTGCACACAAACTGTAAAAAATAAAATTACATCTAATTAAAAGTTCCCGATGCGGGACTTTGTTCTTTCTTTAGCGTTTCTGACATAATAGGAAAAGTCTGTAGTTCGGCTTACAGCATGTGCTCAAAGAGCCGCAGACTGATTACTGTTATCTAAATTTAACAAAATCTACACGGAGTCTGGTACAGGCCTAATGAGTCATGATTAATTACCACAAAAATATCAGCTATATGTTTATGCTGCGTGAGTAATCTGTTATTTACCGGCTCTGTAAAAAGCTATCTGCTCTAGTTTTCCACTTCAAGTTTTCAGCTAATTTTTGTTGTTTAAAGTCAGTTTTACTGTTGAAATGTTTAGTTTTACTTAGTTTTCAACAGTTGTAATATTAACTGTAGATTTATTGTTTTTAGTGTGTTTATCACGATCAAGTTTTTCAGAAGTGCAGATCAGAGATCTGATTGAAGTAAACTGTTATTAAAACTAACCGAGTCTGCGTGTGACTGATAAAATATTTCTCCCGGTTCACACCTCTGATCTTTCTCACCAGGAGTCGTCACCACCATCTCAAAGCTGACAAAGATGTGCGTCCTGCGGCTGACGCCGGACAACCTGTTCTTCGTTCTGTCCGGTAAAGTGGCCAACGGCGGCGTCAGCATGTGGTGTGAGCTGTCACAGGTGAGAGCTGACGCTTCGGCTTCCAGCTGCTAAGAAAATAAACTCAGGAACGAGTCTGAGATGATCAGGACCGTAATAAATGACCCTGATCCCGTCCTTCCTCGCGCAGGCCAACTTCTTCGACGAGTACCAGATGGAGGGCGTGTCCTCCGAGGACAACGAGATCTGTCTGGAGGTGACTCCGGAGAATCTGTCCAGAGCCCTGAAGACGGTCCAGAACGCCAAGGCGGTCAAAGTCAAACTGACCAAGAAGCACTGCCCCTGCCTCACCATCGCCGCCGAGCTGGTGAGAGCGCCTGAGAACAACTCACAGTCAGCAACAAGTTCACCTGAGACGTCTTTGTCTCTGCCACAGCTCGAATCATACGTTTAATTTTAGCCTATTATTCATAACATGAGGAGATACGCTGCGTCTGGGGATACATTCATCTACGGTCGGCTCTCCGAACCAGAATCCAGCCACAGGTTTATCAAAGTTAGATTCATCATTCAGTCATGAAGAAACGTGGCACTCCAGTGTGAACCAAGGCCAGAAAACAATAAAGCCGAGGTGTCGCCCAAACCCTGAGAGGAAACTAAACACGAGTCAAATATAGAAGCCAAAAGCAGAGCTGAAGACAGCTCATACTGGCTCATTTTTAGCTGCTTTTAAAACTCATTTGAACCTTTAATCTGAGAAACTTGAGCCCTCTTCCTCTGTGCCACCCAGCCCACCCTGTCCAGCGTCAGTCGAGTCGTCACTCACGACGTCCCCGTTGACGTCATCCCCCGGAGACTGTGGCACGAGTTCAAAGAGCCGAGCATGCCGGACTTTGATGTAAGTGAAGCTGCCAAACACCAAATCATCCTTTTTATGAGAGCTGCCTTTGTTTTTCATCACGGTTGTGTCACTGCAGGTCAGCATCTACCTCCCTCCCCTGAAGACCATGAAGAACATCGTGGACAGGATGAAGAACCTCTCCAACTTCCTGGTAGGAGGTTAAACATGTTCAGATCAAACACGGACTCATGCAGAGAAGAGCTGCAGCTTTATTTCTCTGGATTTGGGTCATTTCAGTCACGTTTGTCGCCGCGTTTGTGCAACAAAGTGTCCGGCATGTTTTTAGCATAACGGTAAACTCCTTTATTTTGAAATACGTGAAAAGGCATCTTCCTGTATGTCCGCCCTCCGCCCGGCTCGATGTAGAAATATTGAACTGAATGTGAACACGATGTTTATGTCATCTTTTCCCGAGAAGCCAAGAAGTCAGATGAAAATAATTACATATTTAAACCTCGTGTTACCTGCGACAGGTGATCACACAGCCTTATGTCGCTTTAGATGTTTAGATGAAATATGCTGAAATATTTGGAGCGTTTTCATCTCTTTACCTGCAGTCGGACAGGAAGTGAAGGTGTTAACACGTCAGCAGGCGTTACAGCTCTGTGTTAAATCCTCGCTGTGACCAATGGGAACTTTTCAAGAAGCCTCATTTCAGCTTTCATAAACACCTCCACCTCCAAGAGGAAAACACCACTGCCACCTAGTGTTTGTGCGCTGAATTAGTGAAATACAGCAGCCCCTCGTTTATCGCAGGAGTTACGATCTAAAAATAACCCGTGACAGGTGAAATCCGTGAAGTAGCAGTGAATTATTATAGATGTTTCACTGCACACTTTATACACTTTTCTCCAGCAGGCATCAACATTTTCTTTCTTCCAAAATGACCTTCAAAGACATGAAAAATCAAATTAAAAAAATTATTGAATGAACTGAATCTGAATCATACTCCTTTAAAGAGACCTTAAAGTCTGAATCTTCAGGAGAACGAACCAACAAACGCCTGAACATGTGTGTGTGTGTGTGTGTGTGTGTGCGTGTGCGTGTGCGTGTGCGTGTCAGGTAATCGAAGCCAACCTGAACGGCGAGATGAACCTGAAGATTGAGACCGATCTGGTTTCCGTGACGACTCACTTCAGAGACCTGGGAAACCCTCCGTGGGGTAAAAACACGCTTTAGCTCCACGAGCAGCTCAGACCTGCTGACGGATGAGCTCAGTCATCACGTCACATCCCTGATAACCAGTTAATTCTGGGGGGCGGGGCCTAAAGTCTCACCCTCCACCTGCTGCTGAGAGCCTCGTTTATATTTAATAATTACTGATTGTCAGTGTATCAGCTGTGGGCCATACTTTTCATACATTGCTCCTCCGTCCCTCCAGGCGATGACGCCTCCCAGGATGGCGGCCCGTCTCAGAGCAGGGACCCGGAGAGCATGGTGGAGGCCAGGGTGGACATCAGGAGGCTGCAGCAGTTCCTCGTGGGGCAGCAGGTCAACCCCAGCAAGGCCATGTGCAGTGAGTCTCCCCTCACATGTTCGCACTCAGGACAAAACCCACCGGGGTCTAATCCACGTCACAGTTTAACACATTTCTCTCTCGTCCTCCTCAGACATCGTCCATCAGAGCGTCCTCCACCTGATTCTGCTGCATGAAGACATGTCGCTGCAGTACTTTATCCCCGCCGTGGCGTAGACGCTCTGCTCGGCGCTCAGCGCCAGTCTGAGGAAGTAAAGCTGGACTAAACGGTTTCAGGTGTTTCGTCACATGGAGACAAAGCTGAGCGCGCCTGTGCTCCGTCTGACGGAGGCTCTCCTCTCTGACCTGTGATGGTGTTGGAGGCGACGCAGGACGGAGCAGCTTTGGGCCGCTGACATAAAGAGTCTGTGTTTGTGAGACGTTTCGACGGTTTTGATTAAAAGTGTTTGAAAATTAAAAACGTTTGAATATGTAAGTCCCTTTTTTAAAAAGTGACAATAAAATAAAAACTGAAGTATAAACATTTTAGGTTGCATGTCTGCTGCAGGTCTGGATGTCCTGAAATCCTCTGAAGCTGTGATGGATGGGACGGTTTCTGAAACCACCCTCCATCATTCTGTCACAGTTTGGCTTGTTTTAAGTGTATCAGTGGG